CATCATATGACATTAATTATAGTGTTTCCAACCAGAGGATTTTATTTTGAATTGCATGCTCAAATTGGTTGGTCTGCACAGAGGGTATAACTCATTAGAAAAGGAAACCATTCAGCTATAAATGGAAATACCTCAGTTATTATAGATAGGTAATGTTGTGAGTATTGATCTCTGAACAAACGCAATTACCAGGGTTGTACTTTCATGTGCAGCGTTTCCATGAAAATTAATAACCAGCAAGAAAAAATAGAGAAAGAAAGAAAAAAAAACAGTATGAGACTAGTTAACAATTGATAGAATAGTTGGAGGCTTTATTAAAAGTGTATTGTTCTCCTAATCACAGCAAAACCATCAAGTACGCCCTCCACCTCATCAAAACCAACCACTGAAGGTAAGGGGTTTTGTTTGCGCACTAATATATTGTGGAGACAAATTGATAAAACAGGGATTGATACAGCAGCATGCTATTTAATAGTCGGTCCTTACGGTCAGACTTTATTTTTCCTTACTTCCTTCCCTCCTCTCTCCCCTCCTTACTCTTCTTTCCCTTTTTGTCATTGGTTAAACGTTTTCTGTTATATACTTTTACGTGATATTTTCGTTTCTTTTTTTTTTCCATGTAGTTGTGACAGGTAATAGCTTCCTGATGACGTTAACTGTCACAAACAAGGGCTGTGACGATAACCCTTCAGTTATCTGCAAACAGATGGGTGAAAAGGTGAGTTAAATCTTTTTTACTCACCAGTAACTACTACTTGGAATTTCTTAATAGATCGTCAAATTTGCGGCTACTTTTCGAGATATCAAATTTTATTGAGGGCTCAATCTTATATTCTAATTTCCATGCAACCATTGTTTCTGTTTTAGTGTGGCCTGTTTTGTAAATGCTGCTAGGGTTTGAAGAGAATGATGAAGGTGATTCCAATAAAATTCCATTGCGCGTCCTGAGGGCGCATGATCTCCTCGTCTTTACAGACCTTTAGATCCAAGTTTACCGCAAACGTCAAACTGCAGTTTGAGGTTCAGTAGACGTTTGCCGTTCGCCGTTCGGACGTGAATCGATTTAGATTGGAGTAAATTGCAGTGAATAGAAATCATCTTGTCAATGCACTGGAAATTGTCAAAATTACGCCAGTTTTGAAAAAATTATGTTTGCTAGCATGTGTAGCTTCCTGAAGAAATAAAGCATCATGAAACACATTCAACTTAGGCCGCCGCCATATGGGATTTCCATTGCGGATCAGGGTATTTCTACAAACAACTTATTCTCCGAAAAATTATAACCAAGTGGGCCGTTTGAGAAATTTTTAAATACTCCTTGTTATTCGATGGAAACGCCTTAACTTGTTTTCATTTTGAAATAATTCTTGTCAAGGTGGTGATAATATTTTCCAATTTTCCTATTCCTAAGTTTATCTTGTGGTCCGAAAAAATCCACCGGTTGATCTTAACTGAAGCCTTTCCGTTAAAGCACCTACAAACCTTAACAGATTTTAACAGAGGGAATTTAAAAAAAAAAAACGTCAAATCTGACCGGAAGCGACAATCGCATGTTTCGTTATGTAGGGCTTCACTGACAATCCTCCCCGTAAGCCAGTTTAAACTTCTTGAAGGTCTAGAGATCAACCAGAGGATATTTTTGCGAATGGACAGGCGGGCAAGGGGGAAAGGAGCGCACCCGTCTAAGCAACAAATGAAGCAATGCAATGTTTTTTAAACTGTTCATAGTTGTCATGCAACGAAGCCATATCAGGGAGTTGTGTACGACTCCTGAAGCGTACAGAAAGCCCGATATTCGAGCTACAGCAAAGCGAAATATGGCGCGTGCTATCGTTGAGCAACCACAATTCTATTGGAAAAATTGGAACACACTTACTGGACGCCGATTACTCCTAGTACTGGTATATGCCTTTCATTTCAGTGTCAAATGTGTTTACTTTAATAGGTCAAAAAAGAGATCGCAGGACAGCTGGAAAGTGTGACAGTGAAAAACTGCAAGTATGATATCCTCCTCTTATCTTATTTTTGGTAATCGTTACAAGTTGAGTCCTGATTATCCTTTGAGGTTACTAAAGTAAGGAAAACCCGAAAAGTCCACGTATAAAGTATAATTCTTAATTTGATCACCTGGATCAAAAGGTAAAAACGCTAGACCTAGGTTAACTAAATTAGGTTTTGAACATTTAAGCCGAACCCTCTGGTAAGAAATATAGCAATTGATAGTGTGTGCTGGGAAAATCTTGCTTAAAACTGCAAAGTGTGATTACCATTGGAGTACATGTTCATCAATCTAGGGAAGAATAACCGTCTGAAGTTATGTCACAGACCAGTTTAGCCATAAAATAAAATAAAATAGATAATTGATAACTGTTAGTTAACTGATATTGATTGGCATTGGTCGATCGGCGATGAAAAGGAGGATTCTGATTGCCTCCTTTAGTGGTGAGAATTTTGCAATACGGACCGCTAAGATAAACCGCTCACGAATTAATTTCGGCGAATTGCTTTTTCAATTCATTGCACAAAATGAACAATTTTTTTGTTGAGTAGAAATCTTTTTTACCTTCATGTGTGGAGGACAATCTCAGTTGTTCACAAAAGGGACGTGAGAAACGGAAATAGATGCTTACCTTTCACGCGCGCGTTACCGGAATGAATCGCGGAGACGCATCAATTTATCAAGAGATTGAAAAGAGCCATTATAACAAATACTCTATGGAACTAGCTTTTTCGGTCCATATTGGAGAATATTGGTCTCGTTCTTCTTCTCTTTTTTTTGGCAGGTTTATGGACCGAGCCGCAGCGCCTGTGGCTCGGTCCATAAACCTGCACTGAAACGAAGAAACTCGACCAATAGTTATCCAATACGGACCTCACGCTTGTTCAATAACATATCTTTATTGATGGACTTTGATGGATTTTAATCGACTGGTCAGTGCAGAGGCAAGTTCATTCTAATTATCAGTTTCCATTGCTTTCAGATATAAGGTAGTAAGGTTCTTAATACAGACTAGCTGCAGATGATGTGTATTACCAGCATGTGATGAATTGGAAAATACTTGTTTGTTGTTTCTAGTTATATTATTAGAAAGTTGTTTTGTTAGCAAAACAAAAGATTTTGGGTCAGACCCGGGTCTAGAGAAGTGTACTTTTACGTTATTATAGAATTAAAATCAGTTTCAAGTAGTATTGGGTCATTCTTCTTGTCACAACCTTTCTTATATCTTGAACTTGTTTATTTCGTGATGGCCGCCCTTGTAAAGTTACTGTATCTGCGAGTATCAAATTTTTAAAACTTTATCTACTCTAAATTTATAAACGTTAACCGCCATAGCGGGTAATTTACCTTTATCAGCTTCCAGGTGATAAACAGTTAATGTTTCTCTTGCCGCCGACGCAGCCCAGCACTTTCTTTAGAATATATGACCTTTGTTCATTGTTCATTTAAGGCATAGTCAAAGTGATGTAATGGTCTCATTTCTGTTGTTATTAGGTGTGGCAGCAACGTGACTGCTTATTTGTCCTTGGATTTCACTCAAAGGGTAAAGATCCCCGAGGTTCTCTCTGTTCTGAAAAAGGCAGCAGAAGGCAGCGGTTTTGGTGAATTCCAAGTTGATCCGGGATCCATACAAGCAATCTCTGATGATCAGCTACCTACTGTTTCCAGCACTAGTACAGTACGAACCCCGACTTCAGGTACAGTAGCAGGGTCTTTTGTATCACCCGTTTTTTAAACTCGTGGATACGCGAAGCGTAGAAACGTGTTTGTTGCGGGGATTCCGATATGCAAATGTGTCACTCACTCACTCACTCACTCACTCACTCACTCACTCACTCACTCACTCACT